TGCACCAAGCATTTTAAACCTCCCCGTTTAGATCAGCTCAGTTCTTTCAAGCATTTTAACACTTTGACCTGCAAACCAAAACTCTAAAGTTTTACCGGACGCTGCTGAAAAATAGAACTAGCAAACTAAATGTACTGCTACTGTTTGAATGTGCGAACAGGAAACATGTGAAAACTCATACTGCTAAAGAGCTAACGGCCTGTAACCATAGCGATGGGAATTAGCTTAAAACTGACATGACACCTCACTCATTTCTGACACTCCAACATTCATTTTGCAACACTTTGCATGAAACCTTCCTTATCTGAATTCATCCTTCCTAGAATAATAAAAAAAGATTATTTCTCAGATGTACGTGTCACACACAGACAAGACGTTTTCCTTTTCCTGTCGCATAGTTCACTTCTGTCGCTTGTGGTTAACCACACATGCAGAAAGCTGAGCAACAGAAATGCCAAGCTTGATTAACTGAAGGACTGTGCTGAACGAGGGTCAATAACGCCACAAATTATGAATGCAATAAAACTGAAGTTGTGCAAATCTGATAGAGTTTTTGTCTCAGGTGAAGCTAAAAGTTTCTGTTTTTTCTCAGTGGACGATCCAACCTTCATCTTGAGCCCAAAGATCTTCAAATACTTTTTTTCTGTAATGATCATAATTTGGTGACTTCAGGTTTGGTTTTGCATGTTTTAGCCGAGCTCGGCGTTTCATTGATGAGAGAGTGGGAACCGTGAATCAGAGGAACTGCCTGTGGCAACTGCTGCTCTCTTTCAGTTTCAAAGTGAATACTAGAATTAAGAATATAGTAATAAAGATTTTAATCCAAAACCTTTAATAAATCACTTTATTTATTCTTTCTTTTGGATTATATTGCTAAATATTAACTCTTTGCAAGTTTGATAAGTCTAGAAGTTATAAAAAACACTCTGGTTTAGTATGAATGACTGGAATGGATTGTTTGCATCATAATTGCAAAACACTCACAGTGAGACTGGCAAACTGGTGCCTCTGGAAATGATATCATGCTTTTAAAAGTGTTTGGAAATGAAACTGTTTAAAAATGAAAATAAAAACTGTTTGGAGTGAAGAACTCATCAATCTGCTGTGTGAGGGTCGAACCGGCTGCAGGGCCGACGTTACATCCAGCCTGCATGCAGCCATCATCACGTTTAGGCTGCAAGACTCAGTTACAATAAAAATATTCCAAAGAGCACCAGGATGTCTCTACCTGAGGGTGGCCTAGTCAAATCACACCACCATCAGTGTAGAGGCTGCTGAGCCTTAGCAGCAGGTGGTTGCGGTGCCTCTGCACACAGAGATAAAGAAAAACATTGATGATAGTTAGATATTCTTCAGGAAACACAGATGGATAACAACCTCACCTTATTTTTATCTAGTTTCCACTGCAAATATCTTATTACACTTGAGCAGCTGCATTAGGGAAAGCAAAAGAATGAAAACTCCCCGTGTGCTTTAACGGGTTCAGTAGCAGACCACACATATTCTGGACACAAACTGTTCAGACTTTTACCTTCAGGTCGGCGCTACAGTCAGCTAATCGACTGTAAAACCTAAAAACATGTTTGAACTTTTCTAACCTCACATTAAAAACATGTTTCCACACATAAACAGACGAACACGTCGCTCTTTCACTTTTATTTCCTCTAAAGTTTACATAAGTATGCTAGACTGTCGAGACAAATTTTTATTCTGTTTGATTCAGTTTTAGAATCTTTTATTATGAAGGTTTACAGAGTTTATTAGTATTTTGTTTTAGTTTTACATTTAAGTATCTATTTCTTGTTCTTATTGTTATTTTTTTGCTTCACTTTACGACTCTTTGTTCAACATCTGTGGTTTTTATGTTATATACATAAATTGACCTGCTTAATGTTTGAATTTGTGCAGCAAGTAAATAAAACCGACTCAGATTCTGAACTGTGGTGACATAAAATCATTTGTTTTGAAATAAATGAATGCAGAACCAAATCCTGAGTTAAAAGGTGAATATAAACTGTTTACAAATTTACAAAGACAAAAATGTAAAAAAAAAAAAAAAAAAAAACTTCCTGAAACATTTAAAAAATGATGCCAAGCGTCGGAAATGAGTCGAGCAGCGAGCAACAGTTACATCAAACCAATACCAGGAATACCCACAGACATGAACAGAAACCGTAACCAAGACAAAACCGTCACTCCCATCACAGAACTACAGTCTTTCTTGTGGTGTCAAAGGTGAAAGCAGCAGCGCCGTGCGACTATTTGACCTCTTGCTCAGCCGTCTGAAATGTCTCAGATCATCAAGCTACTTTTTATGTCAGATAAAACTATAATAAAGTAATTCCCCAGTAAACATAACAGTTTGTGGTGCCATTGGCTACAACTGCCATAAAGTATCTATTTTACATCTTATGAATTAAGTTTGAAATGCAGCTTTATTTCAGTAAAGCCATGTAATGTGGAGATCATTAAGTCTATTTCATGTTGTCAAACAGGGGATCTATTATGCAAAATTCACTTTTTGAACATTTTGATAATTCAGTTTGGGTCTCAATTGTGTCTAAAAGGCACTTAAAACTATCCAGATGTTTTTTGGTGTCTGGAAAATGAGCCTTTTCAAAAACCTCCCAATGGTTGAGTCACACGTCACTGTTACCTAGCAACTACAGCCTGTTACCTAGCAACTACAGCCCGTTACCTAGCAACTTAAGCTAAGCTGCAGCACATTAGGTGAGCTGGTTTTACCGCTGTATGTGCGGTAAAACCAGCACATACAGCTGGTTTGTATGTGCTGCATACAGCAGCACATACAGCTGATGAATGATTTCTACAAAAACTTTAAACAAAAAATATTCAATTCATCATTTAACAAAGGTAACAGTTCGTTCTCAGATAGATTTTCTTTTACTTTAATATATAAAACTGCTTTTTGTACTTGAATGGGTTGTTCTGGTTTAACATTAAACTTCTTTAATGAGCTAAACTTTATTCTGTCTTCTGAAAAGTGTTTTTCTCCACCAACTGAATTTTATTTTTTGCTTTAACTCTAACTGCACTGAGTCTTCTGATATTTTTGAGCTCTTTTTGACAGTGGAAAATTGGTGTCATGCATTCATGTAACAGGAAAGACGACATTTCCTTGAAACCCCTCAATGACTTCCTTCACACATTTTATGTGTTGTGACTTTAACTTAAATCTGCTAAGAAAGAGGAAGAAGCTTCAGTGACTTTTAGCTTTGGTCGGATCAAACGGTCATGTGCCAATGAACCATCAACTGTTGGCGTCTTTCAGCTGGACTGACCTCATTACTCAGCGCCGCCACTCCCATTATGCCTCAGTTTGTGATAAATTTAAATGAGTCAGATTAGTTAATACATATTCAGCAGTAATGAGAAATAAAGTCTGTAAGTTTAACTTGAATATTTGGTCAAGTTTCCTGTGAAGGAAGGGCGCTGAATAAATTGGCACATCTTGCATTATGACAGTATTTCTGCTTAAAAACTTTACTGAAAAAACTACAGCTAAATGTAAGCATTAAAAAACCATTAGTTTGGACAAGATCAAAGCAAAGCATATCAAAATAAATATCTTAAAAGTGGCACAAATGCATAAAAAAGCCAAACATCGGTGGCATCTTTTACCCATGAACTGAAATGTAAAGATTATGACACAAGTTTCATAACAGCATATTTGCATTGTGTTAAAGAAAGAAAAAATGAAAAAGGAAATGAAAAAGAAACTGATTCATGCAAATGCATGAAAAGAATCTGTTGCACAACCACAGGCTTAGTGCCAGTCTTTAATAACGTGAGATTCACGTTGATGTGTGCTCAGATAGCACTCACTTTATTTTGCAACACGTCTTTATCTACAATCAAACTTCAGTTTTATCGACTGTGCAGCTTTAGGTGGTTTTTAAGGATCACTAATGCCAGCAGCAATTATACTAACGCTTAAAATGAAAAAAACTTGACAGTGAGAAAAGTATGAATATTAGTAAAAAAAAATCTGTTCTGCACAGAGAGCGATTTATTCAACTAATCAAACCGTCACACGTTTTTATAACTTAAGTTAGCAAAGCTTACAGAGAATCTATATAATGTAACTAAGCCAAATGTCATTTTAATAGAATCGTCTGTGAACTCAAGAGTCTTAAAATATGATCATCACATTTAGACGTACCAGCAGAAATACATCTAAATATATTTACTCTTATTAAAACTGATGCAAAATTCAGCTGCACACTCTTCACATATGAGGCCTTAGGTCAGCGTTCCTCAAGCTTTTACAGGCCGAGGATCATTTACTACGTTTAACAAACGCTCACCTTCCACCTAACTTAAAACTGCCCCACAATAACAACATCCTAATATATACAACCTCAAATTAAAATATTAGGCTCTTAACTCATTTGTCTTTGTTCCACCTAATGTGAAAGGTGGCGCTGTTTTGTAAATGTGACTGGCCACAATAAAACCTTCTTGAGTTATTTACAGATTCTGACAGTATCGTTTCTAAGATTTAGTACGAGTTTTGTGTGCACTAATAACGTTTTAGGGCTTTGCAATTTAGGCGCATAATAAAAGTAAAAAAATAAAGACAAACATTTTCTTTCAGTCAGTAGATAGCCCAACATAAATGGCTGTATTCTAGGTGTTAAGATGCAGTTAGCCAGCGTGGGGCGCAGCGCCTAGTTACGGACATATTGCACTCAGCATGACAGTATTCAAAACAAAAGCTCTGCATCTCATCCTGAGAAATTTTCTCTGGAATCTTCAGGTTTTCTTTTTAGTTACCTGGTCTTAAGCCATTTATCCATTATTATTTTAAACACAATCCTTTGGTAAGTTAGCTGTAGCGTTGCACTTTGAGCCGAGGTCACGACCAATAAACGGCTGTTTAAATGCAGTACCTTGCAAACCACTAGGGGGCACCCACAGTCCACAGATTGAGAAAAACTGCCTTAGACTGAGAGGATGGGGCAGAGTCAGGTCAGCCAATGACATGGTGGCAACAAATTTATTTATTATTTAGGTGATAATTTTCTACAAAATATCCTGAAAGCATCATAATCCAAACAGGCGAACATTTTAATTGTCTTCGTCTCTGGGTTGCAGGTTTGTCCGTCCCAACGCGTGTGTACGGAAAGTCTGTAGGTTGGAAGGAAACGGCGTAGATGTGATGAGCGAGGTGGTGTTACTGTGACCGGATAGTGATGAAAACAGTAGGGAAAAACCTCAAAGCTGACGCCAACAGTGCAGTAAATGTTCATGCTGTCACTCACTGCAGCTACAACCTGAAAAATAAAACACATTTAGGAAAAACTGATTAAAAAAAAGCCAAAAAACAAACAAAACAAAAACAAAGGTATGTACAGATGAAGGTTTTGCAGATTCACCAAGTAACTTCTCTCCTTCCTTCTGTCTAAAATCTGTTTGGTTTTGTAGTCATCCAGAAAGTGGATATTTTCACACCACATTGTCATGAGACCAGTCATTCACTAAGGAGCAGGTCGGTCTGTCTGCATACTTTGCAGAGCCGTCGTGCAAAAAATGAGGTTGCACAGTCAGGAAGTGAGGAATTTATAGGTCAGGGCTGAGTACAACATGTTGGCATAAATATGATGACATTTACCTATTAACCAAACTTGAGTTATGCAAAAACTCATAAGTACTTGAAAAATTGTATGTATTGATAATATGGATTGATTCATATGCAGTTATACACGAGATATCTGCTAAAATATTAACTACAGCTAACACCGTTAGCTGGAGCTAACATGACAGTAAAACAAATACGTTTAAAGTAATGAAGATGCATCTTTAAATTGTGGCAACAAACCGTGTATAGATATTTTCACCCTGATGCTGACCGTAAACAGAGTTAGAAAGTCAAGCTCTTACAGGTAAGCAACCGAAACCTTTCCGACTTTTTCCTTTTCCTCCGATTTCCATCTTCATTTCCTCTGGTCGTTTCTGCATTGCCTCATATTTCAACGCACTCCGGTTCAAATTGAAAGGGTTGGCTAGGAGTTAGCATTAATGTACCCAGAATGCATTGCAACGTAAACAATATGGCGACCTCCATGTGACAATATTTTATATACATTAAATGTATAAAAACTAAACAACCTACAGTAATTTTCACTGCATTGTTTTTACATCTGAAAGAAATGTTTAATATTACAGCTAATCGTGTATCTCTTGAAGACTTGGGCCTTTTACTGCTGATGAAGAGCCTAAATGTTAAAAACTGACATCTTAGACTTTTTTCTTGACCTGTTTTATTAGCTTTCTAATCGTTACTGTGACCTTCCTTTCCGGAGGGACTGAGAAATGTTTCATTAGTTCCTGAATTTCTTTAGAAGGTGGTATGATGTATGCTACAGATTTAAACAAAAACAAACAAACAAACTCAAAAACAGCTTATTCCCAAAAGCAATTAACACCCTGAGCGCTCACATGCACTAATTATATGGAGGTTATATGTGTATGTATATTTAAATATAACTGATTAATATTGTAAATAATGTAAAAATCACCATATCTATGGTTATATTGTATTTCCTGCATTGTTTGCACTGTTGGAGCTGACTTTTAATTTCATATATGTGCAGTGACAAACAATACATTGAACTGAGTTGAATGTGCTGCATTGTGAGATTCTTTAGCCAACTTCCTGTTGTCAGAAACATTTTGTTTAAGTGGTTAATTATTTTTACAGTACTAGCAACTGTCAATTTATTCTTTAAAATGTGATTGACTACAAGTAATTTATGATTTTCCAAGTGGGTGACTCTGTTTTTAATCTGGGGGAGTAAAGTTTTTAGTGTTTGCAGAGAACAGAAGCAGGCACAACTTGTGTTTTTTAACGCCAATGTCTCAGTTTGCAGCAAAGGTAAAAATGATAGTGAAACCACTTTAACCACAAGTTTTCTTGGTGTTGATGCTTATCTGATAGTTCTGTGGGTTTTCTGTGTAAAATGTTGAAACTGATTTACTCATAAGACTAAATTAATCACAGGCCTGTTAGAAGTAGTGCATCCTAACGTTGTCCTCAGCTAGAAAAAACATGCTCATTTATAAAAGTAGCTACATGTTAGCATGCATTTCATGAAAATGTATTCTTAGATTACCAGCTCCAACCAGAGGTTTACATACCTGCACTGCATAAAATACATTTGGCTTTTTGGGAGGAATAAGAGAAATATTTCTACTACCAAATACCACAAAAATATATTTTTCCAGCTATTTTCTTGAACTTTTTCTAAATGAAGGAGTAAAATCATTGGAAACTGTACAAGTTGTACAACTGGTTGAATGCTTCGAAGAAGTTAGCAATTGAAACTGACACCAGATTCTGTTTCATTTGTACGTTATAGATAAAATCTCTCCTCAGAGTAGTATTATGAAACTCAGATGGAAGAAAAACAGGTTCTGAATCTTTCTATGATTATAAAAAAAAACCTAATGTGGCTGGTTATACGGAGCAGGCAGAGTAGATAGTAATTTATTAAAAAAAGCTGAACTGCGGTCTCTTTTGAAGCATAAATTTAGCTATCATAATAGCTAAATTTTGGCTATTCTCAATTTTAGTATTTTTGTTCTAACCTGTTAAATATACTTTTAGTTCTTGTCATTTTTAACCTGGTATCTTCGAGATCATCATGACTCTTTGTCTCCCCCTAAAGGTGAAGACCGGACTGCTTTTAAGTTGATCAAACGTCCTGAATGAACTCTTTGATTTTTATTTGTAATTAATATTATATAATAAAAACTGAGACTCTCTGGTGAAATCTGAAAGATAAAAACCTGAAGTGACAGCATCACCAGTCCTCAGAAACCCTGCAGTCATGGATCAGCCTCAGTTTATCAACATCAAGTGGAGAAAATATTCTCTAAGAGAAACATGTCAAAACAAAAACCAGTACCATTTAAATCAACTTGAATACATAAAATGTTAAAGTTGATATATTCTTTTAGTGAAAAAAAAAGACAGAATTGTTTCTCATTAATCTGGTTGGGAAGATTTTGCTCTGACAGATTAATCTAAACAATATATTTAGCTGTGACCTATTATTCCTCGAACAGGTTAGGATAGGTCTATGAGCTACACAAAACATGATAATTACGTTTCTTTTGCACTTAATCGTTATTAGAAAATGAGATTTTAGTCAGAATCATCTGTTTTAGGGCCTCTGTCACTTTAAATCCAAATAAGCTGCTGCCGGCCACGCCGGCCAAGAAAATGGCTGCATAAAGATGCGCAATTATACAACTGTACATCTTTGAAAAGCAGAAGTGGAGCCTCCTGCACAACTAACAAGAATGCAGCAAGTGGTTTCTGGATGACAAGCCATAAACACTTGTCTTTTCCAGCAGCCATTGTACATCACATACAGCGGTAAAACCAGCTGACCAAACGCGCTAGAGCTCTGCTGGCGTTGCTAGGTAACAGGCTGTGTTCTGTTGGGGTTGCTAGGTGATTTGTGATGTTACATATGGAGTTGTTTTTGAAACAGCTCATTTTCTAGACACCAAAAGACATGAACGTACTGCCCTAAAGCAGCTGGGTGTTGTTTTTTTAAGCACTTGGTTGTTTTTAGAAGCAGTAGAGACTCAAATGGAAGTACAAAAATATGCAAAATGTTAATTTTGAATAATAGCTCTCCTTTAAGTCTAAATCTCCTGGAAGTATGAGCATTTCTTGATAGTTATAGTTAAAAGAAAATCATCACAAATGAACTATTTACAGTTCACTTGTAGTTGATCAGTCACCTTGGACAAAAGTAAAATGAGGTCAAAGTACTTTTTAAAAAAAAGATTTGATCTTTAAAGACAGGAAAAGAGAATGAGTAAAAACAGGAAGAATCTGATGGAAATCTGCTTTCTAAGAAGATTTATCTCAAACCAACATCACATCATTGACATCATCGTCTGGTCGGCAGAATCGTCCAATCTGCTGCGGTTATGAGTCAGTTCATATGATGGAGGGAGCGAGCGTTGGTCAAAAGAGTTAAAAAAGTTTTCCTGGACTCCTTTGGATATCTGGCTTCTAAATGTATAAAAGCCCTAAAAAAATAAAACAAACTTCTTTTTAGTGACGTTCTATCTGTTATTATGACTTCATGTTGACAGAGGAGCAAAAGTTTTTAAAGTTTTGCTTTGACTCAAACAGCCAAAGCTCATCGGGGACAAACTCTCATCAGTAAAGGTTTAAGTATTTCCTGATGTCGCCTGTCTGTCCATTTTCTGTTATCTTTGGAAACATCATCGTTTCTGTTGACCCACACAGCCAAAGAGACACTTTCTCAGGGAACGGCTCAGCTGAAAACTTTAATCAGATGAACTCTTCACTCTCTCCTTCCTTCTGTAACTCCGTTAATAAACTGTTGGTAACCTTTCAGATTTTATTTCTTTTAAAGGGAAGGCCGTCTCTCATAGGACATGCAGTTTGCTAATTTCTCTAATTATAGTGCTGATCTGTACATCAATATTAAGTCCTGTAGGAACAATGATCAATACAGAACCGCAAAAAACTAAAAACATGAAATCTTATCAAGTATTTCAGGTCTAATTTCTACTGCAAATATCTTTGTACACGTGAAATAAGACAAAACTACCTCAAAAGTAACGTTTCAGCAAGAGAAATAAGGTTACTTTAAAAAATAATTCTTGAATATACATTAAAAAGTAAAGTAGATCCACTGGTCGATGGACAATGTCTTGCTATAGAAGTTATTGACTTTACACAAGCTCATATCTGATTAAAAGTTACTTGTAAATTAGTTTTGTCTTATTTAAATTGTTCTAAGATATTTGCACTAGAACCTAGAAGTAATATTTTGTGTTTTTGCAGCATTTGCAGGATTTTGTTTTCCGTTTTTACTCCTGTCTCTGAAGCTCAGAGTCTCAGACGGTCAGCAGTTTTTGCTGCTGTTTCTTCTGTTTCTGCGGTTTTGCTCGTCCTGCCCTGGTAGATGTCAGATTATTCTAATCCTGGTTCTGTGGCATTTCTTCTCGTAAACACAGGTAATCTCTCCTCACTCTCCCCACATGCGTGTGTTATAATTTAGTATCAGATAACAATTTATGCAAACACACAGTGTGTTTTGTGTACACAAACACTTTTACAGCAACTCACACAGTTTCCAAGGTGTCATGGTGACCAAGATAAAGTCAAAGGAACAGGTTTCTCACTAATAACTGAAATAATTAAAGTTTTAATCAGCGTCTGCTTTATGGCAGGATCAATGGAAAAGACCAGAAAATACTGAGGTTTCTATCATTGGCACACAGCAGATCAGCTGTTAAAGTCTCTGTATAACTCATAAAGACAGAAAACACCACAAAACACAAGATTATACCAAATATTTGTGTCTAGCTTTTAGTGCAAATATCTTAATACTTGAATTAAGACTAAACTAACCTTAATTTAAGTATACTAAGATGTTTTCTCTAGAAACTAGATCAAAAATACTTGGTAATATTTTGTGTTTTTGCAGTGTATCTGTTATGGACGTAGAATCAAACATAAAATCTAACATAACATTTCATCACACCTTCAGCTGCAGACAGTTATTCCCAAATGCATCGAGCAGAACTGTAGAAATTACATTTTTTGTGCTTCAGCATTTGTGTCATAGTGGAAATGTTTCTGCAGTTTCTGATTCAAATGTTTTAAATAACATTTAAACTCATTAATGCAAATTTAGATCTAATTCAAGAAATAAATGTAATAAAGATTGAGGATAAAAGGTAAAGACCTGATCTTTACGTTCCTTCAGAGACGCAGTAGGTTAAAGATTAAATCTGTTTCTGAGTCAACCCATGATGCATCTGCCCAGAACTTTATCAAGTTTTTATTAAACTCAAAACAAGCTGCATTGAAGAACAAACTTTATTGACACATCCACAGGAAGGAGACAAACATGTCAGTTTTGATTCATTTGATCAAGAAGAAAAATAACGAGAGTTTTCATCGTTTGGCTTTTTGAGCAGAGCGGGTCGGAGCTGATTGATAACTTTGAAGGATCAAAGTTATCGATGCATTGATTATTTTTATAAGCAGAGGATTATGAGCTTCAGCTTTTCCTGTAGCAGTCAGTAGAACGGGGAAGTCAGTGCTTCTTTTTTGGTTTTGCTGCAACATGTGGTTTCTCTTGATGATACCCACCAGTTGAGTTGCATGTTAAGTTTTTCTGTGAAGAAAAAAAAAACAATGAAAATGTGTAAGTTTCCTGTTTTAAGGTAAAATAATGTAAACAAGTCTCCATTATTGGCAGATTCTTAATTGAGACAAATCAGTTAAACATCTAAAACAAAAGTGAGCTCCATTGACTCTGCTTATGATTTATTTGTTGATATGAAACTTTTCAGTTTGACCCAAAAAAAAACACAAATACATTTTAAAAAAAGAACAAATCTATTTTTTACAGCTCAGTAAATAAGCAAAGTTAGATTTAATTAAATTGTTTTTGATGTTTTTATAGTTGAGACTCACCTCTTTTAGCCACTGAGAATCTGGATTGATGCAAAATTTTTTACCTTTGTTGACCTCAACGCTACAAAGAGTGAAATCCAAAAGTTAGACAATTTCATAATTACTGTATGAAGCACAAAAATAAACATTTAAAATGACCAAAATGTAACTTACATTATAGAAACATAGAGTGACTACTTCATTCAGTCAAATGTTCTTACATAGATCATACATTATCCGGTAAATAAAATGCTGAATGTAAAATCAGATGAGATGAATAAATGCTGCAATATTTCCGTAATTCTCTTCAGGTGTTACAGCCGATATGAAATTACACCAGTAGATGGCGCTCAAAGAGAAAGGAAGAAGATGAAGGATGCTCTTGTTTTAGCTGCAGTTCTTACATGAAGAAGTGATTTTTACAGGCGGGTCCTGGTTTTTGTTCAAAGCACTTTAAGATTTCCTCATTGATCTTATCTGTCCCTTTATCACAGCATTCTGGCTTCACATTGTGCTGACCTGAGACTGCAACAGAAACACAACGACAGAAACACAGTGAACAAAAATACAAGGAACATTTTCACAAACTTTTCAGATAACTTCCTTTTCTTTCAATCAGGCATTAATAAAAAAGTAAAACATATTTAACACCAAATCGTCATTTACTGACCAAAGGCTTTTTAAATGATTGGTTTTGCTTTTTTATTATTATTATTATTATTTTTTACATGAGTTATTGATGTTTATACAGAAAGTTTCTGAAACATCTGACAGTCAAATAATGTTTTTAAAATATATATTTTAATAATATCCAACATCTCCAGTGTCATGGTGGACTGAGACATGGTGGCGGGGCAGATAATAATAATAATAATAATAATAATAATAATAATAATAATAATAATAATAATAATAATA